TATTTAGCGCCTCATTGAAATGGAAAGTCAGGCACTCAGCATGGTTCAACCCAAGGGGCTGTAGAGATTGCAGTGCTTGTTTAAACCATTGGTGCAAACCAGTTAATTCTATGTTAGCTGAAGACCAAAACGATTAGCACCTTCCAGATTTAGTGTCTGCGGGGTTTTTGTTTTAGTTAAGAATGCCAAGGAAGTGCTTCTGGGAAATTAGATTAAAAAAAAAACTGAAAGAGAACCTTTAAGGGGAAAAAAAAACAGATTATATGCAACGTTTTATTAATGAATTCATCCATTGTGCAGTTTCTTATGCTACATTTTACAATGAATTAGTACGTTTTAACCCATTTTCTTTTAAGGTTTTTTGGATTGTAATCAAAACTAGAACAACTTTTCGGCATCTGATTTGGACATACAGAGGGAATGATAGGTTGATTAATTGTTAATGTGATGATGCATTTTTTTCAAACCTGGCTAGGATCAGATGATGTCATAGCAAAACATTTTGATATGTAGCAACTTATAACTGAATGAAGGTACATTTGTCACATGATTGCTGATGCAAATTATATATCCTACTTAACTATTCATTTTTCATTTTAAGAACACACGTGCAGAAAATGATCTTTGCAGATTTAAACCACCAGATGTCAGTATTCTCCTAAATATCACTCTATTTATCTGTCTGTCAGGTCTTACTGGTTGAATGGCAGCAGAGACAGCTGAGATGGCAGGGACACAAAGTAAAGACGGAGTGTGTGGGATTTAGATTTATTATCTGGCAGAGACTAGACTGGCTCAGCCATGCCACGCTCCATTGATCACTGCTAACTGTAGATGTGTTTCTGTGCACTTGCTCTGCACGTTATTTGCCGGTTAAGCTATCGGTCGAGGACCTTGTTTTTTCCAACTCTCAGTCTGATCCAACTGAACTGATGCAATTAATGTGAAAATATGATTTGTTTTTGTGTCTTTCTCTTTGTGTGTGTGTGTGGGTATAGACATTCATTTTCACAGACACAGATGATGAGGATTTGAGTTCAAATGGTGAGTAAATCCAATTCCCACATAAAGCCAGACATTAAGATTTATATAAGAATCTCTATGGTGTATTATAGGGACTTTTCAGACCAATCTCACATATCTGATAAATTATTTTCCTTCCAGCCCAATTGAACACAACAACATTTGCACAGGTCCAGGCTAATTCACTACATAGTAAATCACATTTTGTTCATTAAGCTTTGTAATCTAGCGTTGCTGCTCTTCTGCACAACATCCCTTTTAATGCTTCAATCTGAATTCTTATTTCCTGCCTGGTGCTCATTTCGACACTGTTTCAACAATTGAGGGGACAACTGGATGGTCAATTTAAACACTAAGCGCATGGCGGGCCTTATCATCCTACATCAGAGACTGACTATGGGTAAACGGGAGCTGATCTCTGCAAACAGGGTCCACGAGCTTTAACATAAGAGTGGAATCTGTCATGGCATGATATTCCAGCATACATTTGGATCTCAGCGCTTAGATTTGGGCCATATCTTGGTGTTACATACATACTTACTTCTCTCCACTCCTTTTTTCCCCCACTAATAATCTGTCTTGAATGATTTTATTTCCCTGATTTCTCTGTCACTTTCCTTTTATATTCCTCCTCTCTGTCCTTTCTCTGGGTTATGTCTCAGCTCTTATCCATTTCAAGTTTACACATGCCTATCTGCTACTGTGACTTGCTAAACAGACACAAAATTGCAGAGGATGGAGGCTTTATCTTTTTTTTTTAAATCAGAAACCATGGTGGAATCCTTTTATATGCAAAAGTATAATTCAAAATATTCATATTCCTTCCTCTCCCTCTCTCTCTGCTCTCTGTCCAGGTTGTAACATGGTGGTAACAGACTGTCATTCAGATCACAGTCAGCAAGCTCTATCTTGCAAGATGTCTGCAGAGTATGATGGTTTCATGGCCTCAGACAAGAGGTGAGGCAGACTACAGTCCATCAATAATCCTTCTTACACTCTATTAAAGATTGGAACACAAACTTTAATGATGGAAAAAGTAGGCCTTACTTGGAGTTAAAAGCAAATGAAGAAGTAGCCTTGCAGAGAGTCAACAGCACACTTTGCTGAGACAGTAAACAAATAGAGCATAGAATATAGTGTACAATTTTTACCCGCACAAAGATGAGTTCAAATGAGTTTCTGGTTATTCGGTTTTCTTTAAAAAAAAACATATCAGACAAATTTGAATGTATTCCATGAACCACCTTGGGTCTATGAGTAATTCATCTTGCAATTAAACAGTAATTGAACGACAGAGGCTGATGAATAAAATGGTTCCACTCCAAATTTTGGAGAAAAACTGTGCATGAAAACGTGTAAAGTCCCAAGGACGCCCTTCCAAGCTCTTAACCAAAATTGTAGCTGGAATGACTCCCAGTTGCTTTTGACTTCTACTTTAGTATATTTCTATCCTCAATGTTCGTGGCTACCGTGAAATACACTGGAAATGGGTTAAATATTTTTTCCGCGTTGAAAATACTTTGAAACTCAACAGCTTGTGTTGAGTAGTGTGACTAAGTCACTGGCAACTGTCTTGCTATAAAGATGGCAAAGGAAAATGAAAGAGTGTGTTCAATTTGGTTCCAAGGCCAACTAAGAAACTTATCCAGCTCCTCTGAAGCCCCGCGGCACAGGGGACTTAGACTGTTTGATTTGGAAGGAAGTCATTTGGATTGCTGGGCATCCGTTTGGTTGGCAGAGGAAGCAAGCCTGGAACCAGAGGCTTTGTATTTTGGACTGCTGCAGTTCGACGTCTCTTTGGACGGCTTCTCTGACATCATGTCCAGCTATGAAGTCACCACACTTGACGACAACCGAAGACAGCTTAGTTTTACAACCTCCATGAGTTACCTCATGAGACTCTTTATTTAGATGATGAACCCAACTTCCATTATGGATGGAAAAGTCATACATTCATAATGTGCAAGCATTGTTTTAAGATTCACTGAAAGAACTCAACAAATGCTTACTGTCTCTGTCTCTTCAGAATCATTTTTTACAGAGTGCAGTTTTATGTGGGTACATTCGATTTTATAAAGGTACTCAGGCTTTAGACATCTTAAATGCATGCCATGAGACCACAGAGAAAAGATGTTTGCTGGTGTTGTTGCTATCATGGGACCTGTTGCTATGGTAGCCAATATAATAGAACAGAGGGTTTTTACTGAAGGTAGAGGTTTACATGTAACTCACATGCCTTTTTTCCACTCTACAAAGTAGCCTCAAAGCCTTAACTGAAGAAAGAATAGTTTTTGTCTGATTTTTTTTGTTTACAATTTTCACATTATTCACATTACATTATTCAAGCTTAAATTATTCACATTATTCACATTGCATTACTCAAGAATTCCTTATGTTCCTTAACTGTATGAATGGGAAATCTGTGATCTGTGATCTTGGTGGTGGCAACCATGAAAATAAAGGAATGTTGTGGAAATAAAAAAAAAAAACTACATCATTAAGACAGATCACAGAATTAAATCCAACTTCTTTTGGTTGTTTCTTTTCAGGTGGTTTTGTCACGTAGACGATGATAACTACTTAAACCCGGAAGCACTCCTTTCTCTGCTCTCGGCCTTCTCCCAGGATGGCGATATCTATGTGGGCAAACCGAGCTTAGACAGACCCATCACAGCTCACGAACTGTTGGAAGGAAACACAACGGTATTTTACAACAGTTTGACTTGAATTTGCTCTGTTCTGAAGCTTCTCCAAGCCTACACACTTATGTCATGATGCCAAATAAACCAAGCTGCTGATTGGTTTAGTCTTGTCAAAAACAAAATGTTCCACCAAATTTCCTTTTTAAGCTGTGCTGAATGGTGACGAAGGTGAATAGAATTAAGTTTTGGGATTAATTCATGATTGAAACTAAACAAATGTGTGGCTCTGTGGCTATTACTCATCTAAGGAGTATTTATGAGAGATCAATGGCTTGTTTGAACACACAAATACACAAAGGAAAGCATGCACACATAATAAGTTCATTTACAATAAGTGTTTTTTAAGTCCTCCTGTTGGTGTGCTAGTGTGCACAACAGGCCACTGAGTTCATGGAATGAATTCTTATATTGTGTTAAAGTGCTGCCTGATGCCAGTAAGCTCTTTGCACCTTTCAATCTCTCCCGTTCATTTCTTGAAATTACTCTCTTCATATCCCTCATGTCACATTCTCTGCTCTGATTGCATCCATTGATATGGAAAAATAGATCCTTATTAGTCTTTGCTTCCTGTTTTGCTTCTTCTCTCCTCTCTCTTCCATCTGCTCCTATTTTCTGGGGGGTAAAATAAAAACAAATGTCAGGCTCCCCTCAGTCTCCTCTTTTCCTTCTCTTACATCTCGCTGCCCGTCTTTTTCAATTTCCTGTCACCATTGTGCGGCAGCGAAAGGAATGAGAGGAGAGGAGCGAACAAGAAAGCAAAGGAATGGAAAGAATGGGATAGGAAGAAAAAAGGATGAAAAGCGAGTTTCAAGAGAAAGAGATGATAACATGTTTGAAAGGAGGACGCAGATACATAAGAAGAAAAGCTGTTTCAATGAAATTATATGGATTATACAGATTGCATTTGATAGCAATAAGGAAATAAAAAAGGGTGCTATATGGGACGCATAATGCAAATAAAAACAGAATGGACTGATCTTGCACAAGCGGATATTTATTCACAATGGAACTACAGAAAGATAATTTTGTATGAAGGTAAGTAGCTGGAATAGTCAAAATAAACGAAAGAATATAGAAATATTCAAGAACAAAGCTCAAAACACCAAAAGATGATTCTAAAAAAAACAAAATGAGAAATATTCAGTAAGGAAAAAGGCAGGCAAAGAAATCTCGGGAGGCACTCTGTATTTGCACCGCTCTCTTTAAACATTACATTTTTATTACAACCACAACACCACATTTACTTTTGAAAAAAAACAGCTCACTTTGAGGAAGATGAAATAGGACATATAATCTACTTGAGAAATGAGACAGAAATAAAAGAGAGACATGTAACTCATAAAAACCTGGTTTGGGAGATACTGGGCGCTCAACACAACACACTTTAACTTCAGTGGCAACATGGCACATTTTATTTCTTTTCTCCATTTCTTCGGATTTATCATAGAAATTCTGTGTGTTAGACCATCTATCCATCCATCCATCCATCCATCCATCCATCCATCCATCCATCCATC